AAGCAATCCCCCAGACAGACCTGTCAGCTGGGTGGCTTGCTCACAAATCTAAGCTTACTCACCTTCATGTCAGATGTGCACAGCTGTGAGCACCACCATCTGGGCTGTATCCTCTGTATATAATATTAGGCTGATTTCAGATGAGCTGTGGAAACGGCATAGCCATAGCATCATTTAGAAATCGTCTGCTGGGGCGGGGGGAACCCACACTGTGCTCTCTTTATGAGGGGGTATGAGAAAATGTGCAGAGCCAAACCATGCTTTCCACTCTGGCCTGGAGCAAGAGAGGAGGTGTGAGCTAGCCCGGGGTGCACAGCGCATTTCCTGCCTGCTGCTCTATTGTACCAAGGGAGGAAAAAAGCAAAGTCTGCTGGAGAGGGTGCCCCTACCTGTCGTCCTGTGTCTGACCAGGGTACAGAGGGCAGAGAGCGTAAGTGTAAGTGGGTGTCTCATCTTCTCAACTGCTCCTAGTGCTGACTTTTCTCTGGGTATGCTTCTCATCCAACCCAGTTCCTAGGGCAGTTGTGCACTTTGGGGGCCGATTAGGGCTTAGTTGTCCTTCCTTCCTGTTCATGCAAGCAACACAGGTCTCACCTACCCTGGTATATATAACAGGACTTCCTGCAAGATCTTGTTAGCCTGGACATCTTGTGTAATCTCACAACAGTTCCCCTCATCTTTGATCATGATGTTCCACTTAGAGAGCACTTATATTCTGGAGGGGCTGAAAGTGAAGAATGATGCAGTTGTGACTGGTATTCCAGGGGTGCTTGGACATACTCAACACTGTGGTGAATGCTCCAATATACAGTGAGGAGCAGAAGAGCTTTGTTTAATGTTGCCAGGGAAGGGAGTCCTACCTCTCTTCTCAAGGCGTAGTCTTTTGATACCTCCTTTACCTCCCTAGAGGGTTTACAGCATAGGACCAAGGCTCTGCCACTGCCATATGCAGCCACGTGTCCCTCCAGGGATATATTTTGTCATTGGAAGTGTTAAAACTCCCTTCCCCCCCGTCCACCTCAGAGACAAAGAATTGGCACTTTTATTTACAATAAACAGTTGCCCTGCATAGCTGTGAAGAGTGCTGTGAAGGGAACACAAACGTGACAGATAAAAGCGCTGCTGGTTGGGTCTGAGGGCATTTGCTAGAGTGAGAGTGATGTTCAGCTGTAGCCGTGGTTGCCAGGACTCAATGGATGCTGACCCTTGCTGCTGACAGGATTATAACCTTTTGTATCTGTGACCCACACCAGCACTCCAGCGTGTCACACCTTTGTTACTGGTACCAGGATTGGAAATAAAGACCGCTTTCTTGTCAGCAGGGCTGAGTGACACATCTTCATTACCCTGGTGCAGGAGAAAATCTGCCTTTTTGTGTCCGTCTCTGCGCTAGGGAATAGGCAGTTACTCCTAGCACAGACCTTGCTACTGTGATTCTCTTAAGCAGAGCTTTGGTCTCCCACCTAAACATGGAGCATCCGTGCTAGTTACAGGATGGAAGCTCCTTTCTAAAGATTTCTATCTTTACGCCGTGGCCACTAGGACAGTTTGACCCACTGTTAGCTGCACAGACCATGAAAAAATTAGGTACTGGGGATGTGAGGCAATGGCCAAATTGGTTGGGTACAGATGGGAAGAATGGCCTTCCTCATGGTGTATTTGATGCTCTGTATGCATGTTGCTGTATTGTGGGAATGTGCAGGGGTGGGGAACATATTTCCTCTTTGTTTCTGAAATGGCAGCTGAAGACATTGCAGTGGCAGTGGTGGGAGACTCAGTGCTACTCAGTAATGGCCATGTGCACCATGTCAAATAAAGAGAAGAAAAATAATTTTGGGAAGCTCAATAATAAAAAGCGACTTCGTTTTGAAAAGCAAAAGATTATCCCTCCTCAAATACCCCAAAGACTTTTTCCAGGCAGGGAGCAGAGCTCTGCTGTCACAGCTGCTTTGGGAAGAAGGCACTTGCAGGACTGGAACAGCAATAATCCAAGTGGCCCCTTTGGCCACCGCTGTCTGCTGAGTCTTGAGGGCTTTGCGGTGCCAAAATGCAAGTTCTTCAGAGTGGCTGTATGCAGCAACCAGACCTGCCTCCCAGGGGATGATTTATAGTGTACTTTCTAGACCACAGACTTACCTCAGCTTTAGATTGTGAACTTTGTAGGAAAAATTGATAAACCTGCAAGAGCCACAGTCTCGACAGAGATTTCCAGGTGCTTCTAACAAGATTCTTCTGAGGGAGTGACTGCAGGCTTAGGCCTCCAAGAATGCTTCAACAGCCCAGCACGTACGAGCCCTTTGGCTCTTATTGCAAGCAGTCCCACCCCTGCCCTGAGTTACTGAGCTCAAGAGCTTAGCAATGAGCACTTGCCCTTACGTACCATGATAAGGTATCAATATTAAAATTGTGCTTGGTTTGGGGGTTTAATTTCTGCATATACTATTTTTTCTATGTCTTACATGTGCAATCATAAACCAGGAGTTGGGTTATTCAACCCCCCCAAAATGTTTTTAGCTCTGTGCTATGACACAAAGAGTCTCTGTTTGTCAAAGCAGAGGGGATAGGAAGCTGTGGCGAGAGTGGTAACTCTGGTGATGAGGGCAAGGACTATCGTGATAGTTCCCTAAATTCCTACTATTGTGGATTTAGGCATACTGTAACTATGTATTTGCAGCAGGCATTTACAGGTGGCTCCTAGTCATAGGATGCAAAGGGGCACCCACTAGAATTTTAACTCTGCATTCTTCATAGCTCAGGTTTCCAGTAATATCTCCAGGAAAATTATGGTATCTGTGCCAGTTCATTGGCTTCAAAGTTTCAAGTCCCAGAATTCAAAACTTTCTCTAGGTGAAATTCAGCTCAGCAAGAAGGATGCAAACTTTACTTTTCATTACATCATTTCCCCAAAGCAAAATTGGTCTTTTTGCAGAATTTTAATGGAAAAGTGACTTAAAACACAGAGTTTGGGATGCTTTGACAAGGGAGCATCAAACTCATAGTAAGTCTCTTTCAAAGAAAAAAAAAAACCACCAACCAACCAAACAAAAAAAACCCCAAACCCGTTGCTTTCAACTTTAGCTAGTTTATAGCCACTAGCTCCCTGTTGCAGTGGACACTGAGATTGCAGGCATTGATGGCTATGCTGGAACGAGAACCTTGGGGTACTTCTAACGTTCAGTTTTCTGCTCTGACCGTCAGCATCCCTTAATCCTGTTTACTCCTCAGCCTGGATTCTTCCATGTTTTATGTTCTGAAAATCTAGGGGATGGTAGGATCCAGTAGAGATTTGTAATTGCTTCCTAAATGATGTCACTGCCTCTTTTTATTTGGTCATTGATACATAGGCTAATAATTTCTATAGTTAATGGAACTACTGAGAACAAGGATTTTGTTCTCCCTTGTTTAGTAAATCCTAAACCCCAAAGTTATATATATGCTGTATGTATTAGTTTTAATATTTAAGACCAGCACAGCCACATCATGGGCGATGTCTAGCATTAGATGAAGTTTCCAAAGGGTTGTTAAAATGAAGAAAAAAAAAAAAAGGTGCCTTCCAAAAACAAACCGGTTGTTAAAATGAAGAAAAAAAAAAGGTGCCTTCCAAAAACAAACACCACTTTTTTACTTCATCTAAGTTGTGAAATTTAAAATGACACTCAAATAATTATGATTGCTTGCTGTAAATCTGCATAGATCTGGTGCTCTCTGATATTTTTTTTTTTTGTTATAAAGATTAGTTTACTGTCTGTGGACTGAATCCTTCTTGCATTATACATGTGACTAAATCCGTGGGGCCCAATGACCAGAAAAAAAGACCCAGAAAGGCATTAAAATTGTTTAGCCCATTCAGCTGCAAAGTCATCTTACACATTTTCCCCCTAACTGGTTTTGCGTATATTATTGTCAAATATGAATGTGCAGAATATCTCCTGGTCTGGAATTCTGTCCCCTTCGAGCAGTCAGCAGTTCTCCTGCAGCCTTGCTTAGTGGCTGGTACATGCACGTGTTAGCGCCTATGTACTGCGCTGTTTTCCTAGGTAATAATTTTCATATTTATTTTCACACTTTCTTATTTTATGTAGCTCATTTGTTTCCAGCATCAGTCTGCATCTGTTCTTTCATTTTTTAAGCTGCCTGCATAATTTGGAAAGTTATCGATAGTATGCAGTTACTAAAGCAAGACAAAAAAAGATAAAAATTAATCTAAGCTTACTTTATCTATGGTACTGAGAGACAGTGAAAAGTATTGGTCATAATATGTAGATGTAAGGCTATCCTTATAGTAAATGAATCAGTTTTAATGTCTAGATAAATAGCTGTATACCTGTAAACTAAACCTGTTTATCCAACTAGTCCAACTTGCTGAGGATCACTGTCAAAATTTTGAATCCCTTTAAAAGTTATTTTTCAGAACACGGATATTCTGTATATAACTTCTGTTGTACTATTTGAAATGGAAACGGGCTGCGAAGCCTGCCAACTCATCTTTCATGTGCCTTTCCCACTGGTGTCTCTCTCTTTCTGCAGAATCAAGCTTGCACAGCAGAGCGTTTCTGTGTTCCCTTTTACATGTGGTCCTCGTTAAAAAAATACAATGAAGTTTAGCTGTGGTGAAATTATTTATTTGATTTTTTTTAACTGGTGCAAAAAGTAAATATGTTTACTGTGTCCCTTTCCATTCAGTGTATTTCCTTTTTTAAGCTCCATTTGTGTTCAACAAGACAGCCTCTTTCTCCAAGATTAACATTTCTTATGATTGTTCCTGACAGAGGATTTACTTTCAGAGGCCCTGCTAAGGATAACCAAAAAAGGGCATGTAGCAAGACAGTTTTGGCAGCTTGCACGAATTTTCGGAGCTTTTTAGGTCTTGGTTTTCTGATGAGTGGCTTCCTGAGCATGCCTAGGGAATGACCGGCATCTCTGCAGGCAGGCTGAACCCACCTTGGCTTGTGCGTAGTCATTGGCTGCCTATTAGAATAAATTGAGGACAATGCATACCGCTGCCTGCCAATTGTAAACATAAGGGATATGTATTCACTTAGCATTGACTTTTGGGAGGGGCCAAGGAAAAGCTGTAGTTTTATTGAATAGGGCTGTGTGTGAGGCTGCTGGTGTGCCTTTCTTGCTGTGCTCCTGCCCAAGCAGCCAGTTATTCATTTCCTTCCTACTAGTTGAAAACTTTTCAGCCACAGAGGTAAGGGCTTAAGATATGTATTTGTTTGGGAGTGAGCTGGTCTGACTGTGTTTGCGTTATGGCTAGAGATTAAGCAGCATGCGAAACCTAATGAGCCGTGGAAATAGTGTGAAAGTGTCGGATACTATTCCCTCCCCCCCCCGTGTCCCCCCTCTTTTCAGATGTTTGCAGTGAACTAAGGGAGATATCTGCGCTGGGTGGGTGGAGGGGGTGCATGCTCGCCCACCCCAGCAGACACTAATGTGGAGGTGTGGGGGCAAGGCTCTGGGTGCAGGGCAGGATCTGTGCCGGTCCCACTCCGTGTGAGATCCTGCAGTGGGCTTGTTAGTGGAGAAAATAACTTGTCTGTCCTTTCTTTCTTTCTTTTCTTTTTTTTTTTAAAAAAAAAAAAAAAAAGGAATTGCAATGAAAAAGTTGTTAGCGTGGTAATGGCTGGTGAATTGCTTTTAATTTTGCAACCTAATACCTGGGCTTTCAGGGCAGCCTGACTGTAAAAGCAGTCTCTCGGCGTAACTGATACAGATACAGTAAAGCTCTGGTTAATGTAACTGATCTGATACTTGCTGAAGCAGATGTCTGTCATGGCAGCCTTTCATAGAAGTATTGTTGACAATAGATGGCATCCGTTTTTGTCTTCAGCCTTCAACATGCGCAGCAGTGTATTGCCAGAATGCTTCTTGCGAAGTTGTTTTTCCTGTTAAAAGGGGGAGAAAAAATGCATTTGGGTGGGACCGGAGCTCTTAAAAGTCTGGGTCTGTGTTTGTGTCAGTCAGAGCGCTGCTGGGGAGAGCCAGCGAGCAGGCTCTCCTTCCCAGTTTCTTTGACATGCTCGGACAGTTTGAAAGCGTTGTGCAAGGCTGGCTGCTGATAGCACGATATTCTGCATAGCAGGGGATTTCTCAGAGAAAGAGCTGGGAAAATGAAGGGAGGGATGCAGTTAGCTGCAGATGGATACTTGGGAGCAGCAGACATTGACCAAACTAGTAATCTCTGGCCAGACCTGCAGCGATAGAATTGATTTTTCTCATATATCATATATTGTTTGGAAGAATGGGCAAGATGACTGTTTTAAAATGACTTTTTGTGGAGTATTTGTTTTCAGAGGAGTATTTATTTTCAGAGCATGCAGGTTTTATGCAATTTTGCCTAGCTGAGAAGGCTTCTCTTGCTAAAAGGCATACAGGAGAATAATTTGTGAAAATAACACGTTCCCTCCTTGGCAGCAGCTCAAAGAAAATAAGGAGGCAGAGTGTTTCTTTTGAGAACAGTGTATTTATTATAATTTGTCTATTTTAGGTACCATACTGTGAACGGTGGTGCTTGTATAGTTTGCCATCAAAGAACCCTGGGACCCTGCATCCATTCTTTCTCTGTCTCGTTAAATGTAGTAGTAGGTTCTGTGTGAGCGTATGCATCTGCAAACAAGTTTCATACCTCTTTCTCCTGCCATGGAGAGACAGGATGGGGTCCTAAAACTACATATGCCAAAAACCAATGAAATGGACTGTTTTAACGTAAATTACAGATGGAGTGATGCTTCAAGGAAGTAAGTGGTTCATTTGCTTAATTAAATAGCCTTTAAGGTAAAGTGGGTCTGAACTATTCTCAACATATTTGAAGAAAGTACAGGTCTGCCTTTCTTTGGGAGGCTTTCTGATAGGCAGGTATCTCAGTCAATAACACCTGCACACGTTAATGTAATATCCAAATCATGATGGCAGAGGAGAAACACTGGATAAGATGCCTGTGAACAAGAGACTAAATTGAAATAACTTGTATTTCCTGAAAACTCCTCTTTGTTGCACCATGCAATGACAAAAGGATCAATTCCACAGCCTTCATTCACAGGATTAGCCCTGGTGAAACCAATAACGTCATTAACAGATGCAGGATCTGATGCGAGGGGAGTCCTGTGTACTCTGACTATGCTTTGACAGTGAGTGATGTAAGCATGTATTAAGAGAATAAGGGATTTTCCACAATTGCTACTTCATACGCTCACAGCATTATGCTGACACGGAGCAGCCTGAGAAAGGGGTAACTTCCCTTGTGCTTTTATTTCTTGTCCAACACTGATACACAGTGCAATAGTGACACTGAAAACTAGGTGACTTGAAAGGAAAGGGGTGCTGTAAGTTCCTCTGGCTGACGGAGGGAAAATTAAAGTGCATTAAGATAGGAAGATGGGAAGATTTCTTATTCCTCAAAGTCTCATTCATGGGGCCACACGTGGCATGGAGGCATGCTGGTCAGCATCCGTCCGGACCCCCACGGGGTTAGGGCGCAGTGCTACTGATTCCAGGTGGTGACACTAGAAAGGTAGAACTTTTTTTTGCTGGCTGCGTGCTGGGACATAGGCATTCTGTCATATGAAGAGAAAGATGACAGGGAAGGTCTATTAAGAAGTCCTCCTTGTTTCACCCTTCCCTGCGTGCAGCTGGAGTGGCCCTGCCTACGGAGGTGATCTTTCCATTGCACAAAAGTGAGAGCCTGCAGGTCTTCCTTCCTGCAGGACAAATAGCATTTGAATGCCCTGGGACTGTTTAAAATAAAAAGACTTCTCAGTTGCTTACATAAGACCTATTCTGTTGGCTGCCCAAGTTACAATTTGTATTAAAGATCAGTGGAGTTGTTAACCCCTCTCTGCCAAGGGTACAAGTTGGTACGTTTGATTGCTGCCTGTGAACAAAGAGGGACAGGAAATCATATATGCAAAAGAAAGAGGGCCAAGGGAGCAGCATTAGCTGTCCATCTGCAGTGCTTGTCTGGACTCTTCTGGGTATCAGACAAAGCACCAAAAAAGGTAACAGGGCAGAATGGGAAGTGCAATTCTGTGAACCTTTCGCTGCCTTTGAGAGTAGCTTTATGGGGAGTTTGCAGGATTGGGCTCCAGGTGTACAAAGCCTGAGGCAGACAGGCCTGTGACTGCGAAGAGTGGGAGTCTATCTTCAAAGCAAGTTTTCATTCTTTAAAAATTGTCTCTTCTTAGTAACTACCCCCTGGCAGCTTGTAACAAGAAAGCTGCTTCCTTACTAGAGCTCTCACCTTCAGAAATGTGCATGTGCAGAGGCCGGTTTGCTGGTTTTGTTCATAGCTCCTGGGTGGTTTAAAGCCCCATGAGCTGGTGAGAATGGGTTTGGGGGGCATCTGTACTGGAAACAAGGTACCTACCTACATGCTGGCACTTACCCCTTCGGTGCTGGTGTTTGCTGGGAAGCTGTAGCTGTTGCATGCCTCCAAATGGTTTGTCAAGGATTTGGCTAAGGCTGAAATTTGACTCAAAGGCATTTGAAGATCAGATTAGATCTGACCTTTCTGGATGAAACACTGAGGTCGTAGGACAGTTGAACTATGTAACAGTTTCTTTTTGCCTTTCCTGATGCTTTTGTACAGTTCAGCTAGCCCAGCGGGGAAGGACACTCAGTACATTGTAATTTGGGATCCCTCCCACCCCCAGGGGAGCTTGCTCCTACTTTTCTTGAAATGGATTTGATTAACCAAAAAGGTTAGGGCACGTAACACTATTACTTAGTTGCTAGCCCTGGTATGTTAGCTGTATGGTTTACCTCCTGCGTAAGAAAGTGCTTCTTTTCATGTGTTTTTTCTTTGGAACTGTGTTTAGTGCTGATAAATGGTGCAGGGCTGGCAGCCTGGCTGCCAAGCAGATACCAGCATTAGCAGCGTGGTCCCTACCGTGTCCCTCTCCCCGAGCATCACTAGCTGGCCCCGTGGGGAATGGAGTCTTCTGGACTTTCTCACTTGCAAACCTCCTGGCTTCTGCTTCTGTCTTGCAGCAACTGCTGTGCATCCAGCTACAGCAGTGCCCAGGCTTGCTGGGCTCCCCAGCGGTGAGGCGGGTGGGCTCTGAGCTGCGGCACCCACCTCCTCCACCTGTGGTCAGGAACCACTACTTCTAACTGATGTCTCTTTCCCCCTCCCTGCCCCTTGCGTCTGCCACTTCAGAGGGGAAAACCTGTCCATGAAGCATAGGGTACCTCCTGATCAGAAGATCCTGCCTATAGCAGTGTTTATGGGACTTTGGGTTGAAGCCAGGAAGAAGTGCTTGCGGGGACTGTCCTGCTGGCTTGCAGCAGGGGCAGGACTAAATAACTGAGGAAGCAGGGGGAAGAGAGAAAGGAAAAAGGGGGCCATATCTGAAGCCACTGGAGTAATTTCTCCTTCGATTTTTTTCCTGTGGCCATAAATACCTGGTGAGTCACTTAATGACTGTGTGTCTGTTTCTGTATCTTCAAGTAAAGGATAACCTGTGCCTTTTTGTATTTAGCCCATGGGGCTGTTGGGGCTTAATTCATTAGTGTTTATAGAGAATTTGTAATACCAAAATGCCAAGTTTAAGCACTGGCTAAAATCTTATTTTTGACTGATTTCCCAGCAAGAACATACACTTTTTTGTTTGTTCACACAGATTTGTATTCTACTAGAAAGTAACTTTTTCTAGACTGTGGATATAAAACCGCTGAAGCCCAGCGAATGAGGTGGAAGATGGGCCAGGCTCCGTAGTGACACTAAGGTGACATGTCTGGAGGGAATTCCTTGGGTGCTTGTAGATTTAACTGCGCTTGCTGCATCTGAGACAGAGCCTTCTTGTGAAGTTGTCGTGCATGTACCAAAAACATGGGATGACAGCTTTTATTTACAGTCCTGCCATAGTGTCATAAGCTTGGTAGAGAAACTGCTAAGCAAGCTGCTGAACCTTCTCTGCCTGTCCAGTTTCATGTTGATGAGAGCATTTGAAATTGTAACTCCTGGGGCTAGGCCAGGCTGCAGTGGGGAAAATATTAGGGAAAGATTTCAGGCAATGGAAACATTACATGTTTCCACACCCTCTTGTGTACAGAATACAAATAAAGAGCATTTCCCTTGAGACTTGCTGTGGAGGGTGTGAAGCAAAGTGGAACCCACCCGTTTGCACATTTTCTGGTTTATGTCCTTAAATGGCAAAAAAAATCTTTGGAATTTAGCTCATAGAAGGGTTATAA